ATATATGTTTTATAACCTGGATGTTAAGGTTTTCAATGTTAACCAGATTCTGAGGTAAAAATAATAACATGTTTTTAAATTGTTAAAAGAGAAAACACTAAACTGAGTTAATTCAGAAAGTTGATCCGATATGATAAACAACACTAAAATTTAAGAGAAAGCGAAACAAATTTTTACATAAGATAAAAATTTTAAATCTAAAAAAAATCCAAACAATTTTGTTAAAATTGATCACCCAGTTACATGTATGATACACACTTCATTCTAAGCAGTTTTTCAAAATCCAAAGTTAAAAATAAACTGCAACAGAAATAAAACATTGAGCTGAAAGTTTCATTAGTGAAGTTAAGAAAATAAACTGCTTTAGGAGCTATTTTTCCTAGCCATTTTCTCACTAAATTCACAAATTCAAGACTTTTCTACATTCTCCAAAAAAGGTTTTGAATTATCACTGTAAAACTGCTTCTATTTTATCTGTCAATTGTATGTTTGATTTTGCTAAAAAATTAAACAGCAGTGCCACCAAATGACAAAATGCAAAATTTTACCAAATAGTGAGGTCAGGTTTATAAAGACATGAAACTGTTTACTTATTCTTGAAGCACAGATAAATATAAATACTATTTCATCTCTATATGGTGAATGAGTTAAGGATTTAGCATATGTTAGGAAAATATTAGAAGACCTGACTGCATACATATTTTGAATATAGAGCAATTTCACACATGATTTTATATAGCTTAAAAATACACAAATTTTATCATATTTACATTTAAGTTCTCAAAACCTTACCTTTGAAGAAACAAAAATATGAAGTATTTTTATCTGAATAACTTTTCTGAACTATTAATGCTATACTCTATTTATAAGAATGACTAAGAGTACAAACACTCCAGTGTGGCCACAGGGAGGAAGTATTTCTCCACCCTTAATGAAGCCATACAGAACTGTATGGCAGATCCACAGACAAGGACAAAGACATAAACAGAAACGAAATAGACAAGAGTTAAACACAATGAAAAAGGAATTCCTCACACTCAAAAATATTCACTAACAAGTCAAGATAGAATTTCCTTACTTCTGCTTTTCATTTATTTTAATTATTAAATGCATTGCTACTCTTAAAAAACTCAATCTATCTTCCTTATGTTTCATTCACAATCCGAGTATATACAGTCAACTTAAAAAGGCAATACTGTATTATTTGGGGGGAAAAACCCTATCAGCACAGATGAAAATTATTCTTCATATTAAAGTCCTTTGTTGTACTATAATTTTTATAGTGTCAAAGAGAAAATTTTATAAAATGGGTCTTACATACTAAAGAATCAGAATAATGAAGGCAGTGATTTTTACCATTTGTTAGATCAAAGATACTTTGATAATCCAATGAAAGACATATGGTCTTACTTTAGAAAAACGCATCAATATATATGCAATGAAACTAAATTAACATTTCAGGAAGCTAATAATGCTAATTCTAACTGTGACTAACATGTTAACCACTCCTGAGTTACAGTAACAGTCATGAGGGACGCCTGGGTGGCTCAGTTAAACATTTGACTCAATTTTCGATCAGATCACGATCTCATGTTGGTGAGTTTGAGCCCTGCACTGTGCCCTATACTGACCTCTGTGCAGACCACGTGGAGCCTGCTTAGGATTTTCTCTCTCCCTCTCTCTGCCCCTCCCCTGCTTGCACTCTCTCTCTCAAAATAAATAAAACATTAGAGTAATAGTCAACAAATACAAACATATGAAGTCCTCATACTACATCTAGATTATGTTAAATTAGATCTTCTTTTAAAATAATTACTTGGTAAAATAACTTTAATCCGTTTTCTATAGATTAAACTGAATTTAAGTACTTAGATTATGAAGACTTTATTTTTCTATCCAATTTAGACAGAACAATATTAGAGATCATGACTTTCATTTAGAAGATAAGGAAATAAAGACCCCCATTAAGTCAGTTTCCCAAAAAGGCAAATGCACTGGCAGAGCTGAGACTAAAAATCAAGTATTAGGATTCCCAGACTCCTTTTTTTTTTCTCACTATACAAGGATGCCCTCAGTAAACCAATCGTTGAAAATTCCTCTATATATAATTCTGAAATGTCATGAGCCACAGATTTCCCAGTGCATTTATTTGTGTTACTATTCACCAGATACCATGATAAGCAATTTACAAGGTGAATCAGGATTCTTTGGTTGAAACCAATTGAAACTAATTCTGGTGGAAAGGGGGGCGGGGGTGGGATAAAGGAGAAGAGAGAAAAGAACAGTAAGTAAGATTATAAAAGCAAAGGGAAGCTCTTTAAAAAGAACAGGAACCAGAGTAGCTGTGTGGATCTAGGTAGTAGAAATGAATTTATTATTTCATCAGGTTCTCTTACTGGATTAAATAAACTTCAATCCTGTGATACTCTATTCAAGCTTCAAGCTCTGGGAGACAATTCAGTTGTTCTACATTTGATGACCTGCCTATCTTCAGCTAGAAGGAGCCAGAATACCTTGTTTGACAGTCTTACCGAAAGAGCAAACAATAAAACAATTCCTCCAAATGAAAATAGGTTGCTTGCCTATTGGACCTCAAAAGTCAGACTCACTACCACAGTTTAATGCTGCCACCATAAAAATTCTTCTGAAAGAACCTGAGGAAATACAAAGATGTATGATACTAGAGACTGGCATTCTCTCTCAATAACAGAGTCATAAAAGCTGTCTTTTGTACATACTTTGGAACAGTCTAAGACAGATCTACCATCAAAAGAGAAAATACATACAGAGAAAAAACTAGGTATTTATACTGGTTTACATGATTTAAACAGCAAAGACTCTTTGGGTTTTCTAGGACCATATTTTAATTATATGAATGCTACTGAAAGTGTGCTGGATGGGTATATGAGGTCTAACCAGCCTTCTGGAATAGAGAAACCTGGCTCCAGTTGGTAATCTGTGGACAGAACTATGCTATTATACAGCTACCTAGTAATAAAAGTATTATATGAGAATGTAGCACTCAGAGCTGAATCACTGTTGGACACAATTTGTAAAATGTACTTATTAACATATGGAACCTAACAACATGCTTCCAGAGATGCTCCCCTGCTCCCCTCCCTGTTCTACTACCATTATCACTACTACCTGTGAAACTTCTGCTCCTTTTGCTTAGGAAGAGTTAGCTTAATGCTAGGAAGATTATCAGAGGAGCAGCTCTGAAATAGGGGCTCTCAGCATAAGAGGAATCCTCATTCTCTTTGATGTTCTTGAAATTTTTCATGTCAAATAAACGTATCTTGCAGACCACTCTGTGACCCTGTTACTATCTAGGGACATTTCGAACAGGGAGCATGATTCCACACTGATCTCATGATGTGTCTACATAAGACTAAGGATGACAACATTTGGAGCTCAGAGCTTGGAGCCTGCTTTGAATTCTGTGTCTCCTTCTCTCTTTTTGCCCCTCCCTTGCTCACGCTCTGTCTCTGTCTCTCTTTCAAAAATAGACACTAAAAAATAATAATAATAAAATGTAGAAATAATTATTATGATTTATATCATGACTACTTGCAAATGATATAGCTGCATACTAAAACTCCAGAAAATTAATTGAGAATTGGCAGAACAGGTAAACTCATTCTATAGCAAAAAACAGTGATTGCTCCAAGTATCAGCAATATTCTCTTAGATAAAAAATACCCTCTTAAAACAGAAATTTAGAATTATGTGCCATCAATAAATAACCTTTACAAGAAATGTAACAAGTATGAGCTTAAAATGATCAAAATTGGGGCGTCTGGGTGGCTCAGTCGGTTAAGCGTCCGACTTCGGCTCAGGTCACAATCTCATGGTTCGTGAGTTCAAGCGCTGTGTAGGCTCTGTGCTCATAGCTCGGAGCCTGGAACCTGCTTCAAATTCTGTGGCTCCCTCTCTCTCTGACCTACTCACGCTCTGTCTCCCTGTCTCTCAAAAATAAATAAACATTAAAAAAATAATAAAATAAAATGATCAAAATTGTATAAGAGATATAAAAGAAGAATGAGTAAATGTAGATGTTTAACATACTCCTGGATAAGTTAATTTGTAGGCTTAAGGTTATATTGATAAAAATTCCAATAGAATTTAAAAATAAAAAAAAGAGGGGTGCCTGGGTGGCTTAGTTGGTTAAGCGTCCGACTTTCACTTAGGTCATGATCTCACGGTTCATGGGTTCAAGCCCCGCGTCGGGCTCTGTGCTGACTGCCAGCTCAGAGCCTGGAGCCTGTTTCAGTCTGTGACTCCCTCTCTTTCTGACCCTCCCCTGCTCATGCTGTCTCTCTCTCTGTCTCCTAGAAATAAATAAACATTAAAAAAATAATAATAAAATAAAATAAAATAAAAAAATAAAAATAAAAAAAAGAACAAAAATTACCCAAAAATGTATCTGGTAAGGAAAAAGACAGCAAGTAACTAAGAAAAACATTTAAGAGTAAAAAGGAAATGAGTGAAGAACTCTATCAGAAATTTAAATATATTCTAAATCCATAATTATTAATACAATGAGGTACTGGCAGACAGAGTAATGGAGCAGAAGAGAGCCTGATGCATTTATATTATAGATTAATTCTCTAGCATATATAAGAATTTAATATATATAGGTATTTATATAAATATATAAAGGTAGCTTTATAAATTAGTGGCAGAAGGAAAGTTTAGCCATTAAATAATGCTGGGTCTTTGATTAGGTACTTGGCAGTAATAAAAACTAAAATGAGTAAGTAAATTAGGTTCTCACCACAAATCAAATCCCAAAATAACTTTCATATTGGTCATTCATAAATATGAAAGAGAGAGAGTGCCACAGTGAGGGAGAGGGGGAGGGGACAGGAGAGGGAGAAAGAATGAGAATAAAAAATGGGAAAAAATAGAATTACCAAATTATAATAGTGATATACCACCTAGTAAGAGATATAAGAACATTAACATGAGTAGGAACAAGAATATGAGTTAAATCTTACATGCTCTTCCCATACTTTCTTTTCTCTCTCATATGCTTCCTTTCTCTTTCGTTCTAATTGTTCTTTTAGTACAGCAGCACGTGCACTTGCTTGGGCCTGGAAATAAAATTAATCAACAAAAGTAATTACCAGAAATAAGGGCATAGGTTCCCCTCTCCATCAAGTCTATAAAGATACTTATTGGCCAAAAAAGAAGAGTTGGCAGTGGGCAGGGAGGGGGGGTGATTTCTGGAGTAAAAATATAAGCTCACTTTATATCCCCAGCACCTAAAGCAGGGCTCAACACACAGCAGCTGTTCAAGAAGTGTTTGTTGAATGAAAATAAATGCAGGTACATTCTAATACAAATATAAAAGTTTTAAACTATGGTTACTATATATAGACTTCTTTGTCTTCATAGGAATAGGCAATTATATTTTTCATTTTTAAGGTTACATGTGCAATAGCTTCATATAGTTATGATTTCATCAAACTGCTCTCCATAAATATAAGACAGGAGGAGAGGAAGACACTATTTTTCAGAAACCAAAGAGTGAGGGATAAAGGGGAATGAAAAATTAAGGCAAGAGAATAACTATTCAAGACTTAACACAACTGTCTACCTCAGGTTCCAATTTTCTCAAAGAAAATCTGCTTATTTCTAGTCTATACCTTAAGTGCTTCAACTTTTTTACGCCTCACGTCAGCATCCTCACTTCCTTCTTGTCCTTCAGAACAATCAGCTTCTTTCTACAAAGTAAGTAGATAAACCATTTAGGACAGAACCTTGAATTGAGGGCAGAGCTCAGAAAATAATATGAACAGACTAACACCTAAAAATATAAAATGGTAAATTGTTCAACACTTCTAATTTTCTCTCACAGCTGCAAGTGAACGCTCCACAACTATCAACTCTTATGGACAATGAATGGGGAAAAAAAAAGACAAAACAGAATGATATAAAATGTCGTTAGCACTACCTATGTTTTCCTCTCAGAATTCCTCTGGAACAAATGGTCTTATCGATTGTAAATCCAATATGTAAAGTGTATTTTGTCTCTTATGTAGTTTTCTGATCTATTACTTTCGCTCTCTTCATCAAATTTTGTGTTAGTGGCATAGCATTTTTAATCTTCATTATAATATCATTCAATTACTTTTTAAAAAGTTATTTTTCAACCTGCCTTTTCACCACGAAGTTTAGCTCTAATCTGTTGGCGCTCATTGAAATTCTGCAGTCTTATTTGTCTCAGTCTTGCCAGATAAACCTACAAAGAGAGAAAAAAAACACACAAAATTTTAATTAAAAAAAAACTATCAACATTTTTATTGCTAAATTTTTTTAATTTAAAGAAAAGTGTTAATTTGAATACAAGAAATAAAAGTTTTGAAATCTGGTTAATGGAAATGTAATATTAGCTTTCAAGTGTTTAATTTAGATCAACTTATCTGAAAAGAAATACATTGTAAATTTTTAATTTTATCAAAAGAAAAGAAATTGAACTCAGAATACTGAATATCAGTTATGGGGCAAAATTATGACACAGCAGGTCAGTCAAATTATATTAACAGGTCCCTCTAGACCTACAAAATCCTTAAATAATTGTTAAGAATTTAAACCATGCAAGAAAGGAAGGCAATAAACTCAAAAATGGCTATATGACGGAGGTAGCGAACATGCGGGAAGCATACCTCTTCCTCTTTGTTTCTTGGCTTCCCTCCTCTCGAAGAGCTGGACCTGCCTCCATACATAGCTGCCAGGTTTTGCAGGATTCCCTGTTCATCATTTAATGTACTAAGTTTAAAGAATGACTAAGGCTACATCAGCATCTTACCAAGGAATATCCAGGTGCCACTTTATTTCTTTTGGCAAATACTGATCATTTCTAGCTGATGAACTTAGATAAACCCTGGCATTTTCCTGTATCGATTTAACCAATACATTCAGTGAGAACATTGAAGGAAGCAATGAAACCCCAAACAATTATTCAAAACAGAGATCAGGTATATTTTTATTAGCCATTTAAGTAATCAGGTTTTCAAACCTACTTTGGAGGTTAGCTAAACCCAAACCAAAGCTTTGTTCCATAAAGGCCCAATCATTTCTACAAATTTGTTTACATACTAAATACACAGACACAGTATTAAATATCTGAACTCAAACTCTACACTCAGGCACGTCCTATGACTATATTGCAAATGATCATATTCAATGACAAACTGACATCATTTTTAAACATAGTTTATCATAAACATGGAATTATGTCCTTATCAGAAATTATTAATATCCATTATAAAGTATCAGATTGCCAAAGTATCCATTTTTTCTTTCTTCAGCACACAACTATGCTATAAGATTTTTCCTTAAAAAATCGTCAGTGTCCCAACTTCCCTATCTAATGTCTTTTTATCAGCTTGTTGAAAGCATACTTTTTTATACATGACCATTCATGACTTCCATTTTCCTGCTTCCTACTTATTTTCTTTTCTGACTTACTTTCTAACCCACTACAATCTGGTTTCCAACCCCATCATGACTGAAAATTTTCTACGGTTACCATTGACTTCCTAGTTAATAATTCAAATGGGCTCTTTAGAGCAAACTTTGCAATTAACATTTTGACTAGAAATTAGTTTGAATCCACAGAAGTATTTTTCTCTCAAAAAAACATGTATGTTCACTGTAGAAAACTTATAAAATACAAATCACAATTCTACCATCTGAAACATCTAAAGTCTAAGGCTATCCCCTTCCAAATTCCTTTCTGTGCATATGTACAAATACTCATGCATCTTATCTTTATAAAACTGGAATTTTACTATAGTTACTCTGATTTTACCTTAATATGAATTAGCATATTAATTAACTTTAATACTTTGAGTCTCTCCTTATATTGAATATCCTTAAAAGCATTATTAACTGACTATATAATATTCATAATATACCACCAAATAGTGTTTTCTAATTCACACATTAAAAAAAATCTCTCTTCTCTTTCATATTTATGTTAGCACTCTCTCTTGGGTTCTTCCAATCAATCTTCACTATTTTTCACAGGATTTTCTTTTCTATGGCTCATCACTAATGTCAATATTTTGTCAAGATGCATTCTCTGGTCCTTCTTGTCTTCTCATTCCCAGGCTGTAACATATGTTGCCAATTCCCAAGTCTAAATCAATCTTGTAGCACTCTTCTCCTGAACGTCTATATATATTCAGCTGACATCTGGACAACTCCACTCTTTATGTAGCAAAGCTACTTCAAACAATTTATAAACCTGACCTCATCATTCTTTTTACTATATGATCATATTCCCACTTCAGTTACTGATTACAGTCAGCCACCCAAGTCAGTGAGGTGGGAGTTATTGTTACCTCTTTCTCTTCTGTGCCAAAAAGAAATGACTGTCAAATTACCAATCTACCTCCTCCTAACTCTCTAATCATCCCTTTAGTTTCTGCCTTAGCTCATGCTCTTTTCTCTTGACTTCTGGATTTCCAAGACCCTTCTAATCTATCATTTACCTCTCACTGTATTCTATACCCTAGTCTATTTGCTACAATGTAATCTCTTTAACAGTCTCTTTCACATCAAAGCCCACCTAAATCTTTCAATGATTCCCATTATCTTCATAATATAATCCACATTCTATTCTGATGCATGATAGATAAGGCTGTTTGTAACCTAGCTGTACCTATTCTCATCTCTGCCACAGCCTAATCATAAAGCCTACATTCTAGCCATAACAACTACTTGTGGTCTGCAGACTATGCCATAATCTCAGTCATTTTAAAATGGCTAACTCTACTCATCTTCCAAAATGCAAATCAAACATCTCTTCCATGGAAAGCCTTGCTCATACCTCTTCCAGTCAATTAAGTGTGATGCGCCATACCATTTTTATACATACTTTCTGCAGTAGTACTCATCAGTGTATTATAATGCGATATAATGGTGGAGAGGCAGTATACTATGACAGTTAAGAATATGGACTATGGTAGACTCCAAATTCTGTCAGTTCACATATTTGTCAATGTCACTTAACCACTGCTGACCTTCACCAAAATTACTTAAACTTTCTGTAAGCTTGGATATAATAATACTGCCTACTCTGTGGATGTACCAGGACAAAAAGTATGATTATACGAATGTGCTCTTTCTCCTGTTCCAGTCTAACAAAAGGCCCCTCTTCAAAGCAATCTTGGCATTAGTTTATCAGATACTTGAACTTTTGAGATATAATTAAAAGACTAGGAAGGTGAAGGAAAACAAAAATACGCAGGGCTGGGCAAAGATGTGAGGTGAACTCTGATGAAATATCAACAGAGTTACGAGTGGGGGAGGAGAACTGAGTACTGCTATAGACTCTATTTTCCTTTTATGGTATTTAAGAACTTTAAGTTAAAAAACCTGAGTTACTTTGAGGCTATTTTTTTTTAACATTTTACTTTGAAATATTATAGATTCACAGAAAAGTAAAATGTACAGGGAGTTTTCATGGACCTTTTATCCAGCCTCTCCCCATTTCATCATCTTGTGTAACTATACACTATCAAAGCCAGGAAACTGATTTCAGTAGTTATACATGTATAATTGTGTATCTGTATCAGTGTAATTTCATTATACATATAGCTTTATGTAACTCCCACCATAATCAAGGTACTCAGTTGTACCATTACTATGACACTTCACAGCCACAATTACTATTCCCATACCTAAGATTCATCAACTATTACAAACAAAATGTACATATTAGAATCATATAATATGTTATCTGCTTGAGATTCACTGTTTTTACTCAGTGCTATGTTCTTGCAGTCCATTCAAGGTGTTGGGTGCATAAATCAATGGTTTGTTCCATTTTACTGCTAAGTAGTATTCCATTGTATGGATATATCATAATTTGTTCATTCAATCACCCACTGAAGGACGTTTGGGTAGTTTCAAGTTTTGGGCTATTAGGAGTTGAAGTTGCTATGAATACACATGTACAAGTTTCTGAGTGAAAATATGTTCCTTACTCTGGGACATACATGCAAGAGTAGAATTGCTTGTTCTTGGTATGGTAAATCCATTTTTGTTTTAAAGGGCAGTGCCAAAATATTTTGGAGAGTGTCTGTATCACTTTACAGTCTTACTAGCAATGGATGATCCAGTTTCTCCACATCATTACCAGCATTCAGTTTTTATCACTTTTTAAAATAGTTATTTATATTTGAAAGAGAAAGAAGGAGAGAGAGAGAGAGAGAAAGAGTGCAGGAGCGGGGGCAGGGGGGGGAGGTGCAGAGAGAGAGAGAGAGAGAGATGGAGACAGAATCTGAAGCAGGCTTCAGGCTCTGAGCCGTCAGTACAGAGCCGGACACAGTGCTCAAACTCACAAGCCACGAGATCATGACCTGAACCAAAGTCAGATGCTCAACCGACTGAGCCACCCAAGCGCCCTGGTTTTTATCACTTTTTAATTTTAGTCATTCTGATAGGAGTCTAGTGATACATTAATGTGGTTTTAATTTTCATTTCTCACATAGCTAATGACGATGAACCATCTTTCAACAGTTTATATGCCATGTGTTTAACCTCTTCAATGAAATATTTAACTACTCTTTTGCCCATTTGCTAACTGGATTCTCTGTTTTTAATGTTCAGTTTTGGTGATTCTTCATGTGTTCTGGACACAAGTCCTTTGTTGAATATGGGGTTTACACATATTTTCTCCCAATCTGTAATTTGTATTTTCTTCCTCTCAACAAGGTGTTTTGCAGAACAAAAGTTTTTAATTCTGACAAAGTCCAGTTTATCAAGTTTTCCTTTTATGGGCTGTGCTTTTGATGCTAAGTATAAGAATTCTTTGTCTAGTCTGAGGTCTGAAATTTTCTCCTTCTTCTAAAAGCTTTACAATTTTATGTTTTCCCTCAGAGTGCACGATCTCTTTTAATAAGATGTGAGGTTTAGGTCAAGGTTCATATTTTTGCCTATGGGTGAAGTCCAATTTCTCCAGGACTAATACTAAAAAGGCAATCCCTCGTCCATGAATTGCTTTTGCTTCATTTTCAAGAATCAGTTGGGCATATGTGTATGGGTCTATTAGTGGGTTCTCCACACCATTCCATTAATCTATGTGTGAATCCCTCCACTAGTACTATACTGTTTTGATTACCATAGCTCTAAGTTAAAAAAATTTTTTTAATGTTTATTTATTTTTGAGAGAGAGAGAGGCAGAGACAGAGCATGAGCAGGGGAAGGTCAGAGAGAGAGAATCTGCGCCAGCAGTGTGAAGCCCAATGTGAGGCTTGAACTCACGAATCTCTAGATCATGATGTAAACCTATGAAGAGTTGCTGCTCAACCGACTGAACCACCCAGGCACCCCTGTAAGCCTTAGTAAATGGAAGAGTCATTCTTCCCATTTAATTCTTCTTCAAAACTGTTTTGGCTATTTTGGGGCACCTGGCTGGCTCAGTCAGAAGAGCATGTGATTCTTGATCTCAGTCATGAATTTAAGCACCATATTGGGTGTAGAAATTACCTAAAGAAAACAAACAAAAGACTATTTTGGCCATTTTAAGACCATTTTCTTTCCATATACATTTTATTTTTTATTAAAAAATTTTTTTGTTGTTTGTTTATTTTTGAAGGAGAGAGAGACAGAATGTGGGTGGTGGAGGGGCAGAAGAGAGGAAGACACAAATCTGAAACAGGCTCCAGGTTCTGAGCTGCCAGCACAGCGCCTGACACAGGGCTCAAACTCATGAGCTGGGAGATCATGACCTGAGCAG